AAAAGAAAGAAAAAGGTGAAAGGTAAGAAAACGAATTAGTGTTTATCTTATAGTGACAAGCGTAGCGTCACAAGCCATGGGAGTGAAAAACATAACTACTTTTTTTGGTGAATAGGAAAAGGCAGTGAAGTGAGAAGTGAGAAGTGAGAAGTGAGAAGTGAGAAGTGAGAAAGTGAGAATGAGGGTTTGAAATCTGATGAGAGGGTAGATGAAATAAGGGAAGAAGATGGCATTGGCATAGGAACGACAACTACATATTTTGTCTTAGAGTGAATAAATTGGCGCGTGCCAACATGTACGTGTGTTAAGTTAATGATTTATGGAGGGGTGGGTCATGGTCATATGCATTTCCCTTTCTTTCTCAACTACAATTACAGTTCTCAATTATTAAATTAAACTAAACAACCATGTATTTAAAGAAACAAATATATATTTTATATGTAGAGAGAAATAGGTGATTGGGTGGAGTGTACTTGGAGAAACAATAGTACCCTAAAGCCAACTGTAATTTGCGTCCTGTTTACAGGTCATTTCGCTCATTTCCACCTCTTCTTTTTAATTTCATCTGCATTCTCGCTCAAAGATATGTCATTTTTTTTTATTTTTGTCTCAAATATTTTCTCTCTACGATTTTATCACTTATAATTAAGACTAATACATTTATCATGCATTCATGCATTAGCAATGATTAGTACATTTTTTCTGCTTCATACATTATGGGTTAATTAAGGTATGCAATAGCAACTGGAAACAAAATTATGTGCCCAGTAGTATATATATGCAGGGAGATATTGCCAATGCATAATATCTATTTCCCGAAAACAAGATTGGTGAAAACAAATGCGTGTATATGAAAATAAATTAGATAGAAAAATTAGAGTAAGTACTAGTGTAACTAGTTAATGGAGATTGGTAACGGGAAAAGGGAATATTTTGGTCAAAATTGATGTCCGAGTATGTGAATTGGATGAAGTCAATAGAGCAATTATATTATAAAATGGGTTTAGTTCTAAAATGAGCACTTAATGTAAAATTTTATTATTCTAATATTTGACCATAATAAAATATATTTTTAAAAATTATTGATATTGAATAATAATAACAAAATAAATATAAATGGATAATATTTTACAATAAAATTACATCAACTAATAAAAATAGTATAAAATTTTTAATAGAAAATATCTATTAGTAGCATAGATTAAAATAATAATAATAATAACAAAAGTGAAACAATTAATTAAAAAATTATAAATCTCATTAATAGATTAGAGAGGGAGTAAAAGTTTTAAAGTAATTATAAAAGAAGTGTGGAGTGAGAATAATATTGATGAGATTATAGAAGATGAATAAATTACAACTTTTCAAGGGATGAGATTACAAAGTTTTGATATGGGTCTAACCAGTTGATTTTGTTCCTACAATTTAATAAATAAATAGAATGAAAATTTTGATTTCTATTGTTTGATTTTGATTCCCTCGAAGTAAACTAGTATTATATGTGTGAATGAAAAATATACCAGTTTGCAGTTTTACTTTTACTTTGTATTAAAATAGAGAATTGAGGACTGCAAAATGCCAAGCCAGCTAGGTTAAGTGGGAAGAGAGAGGAGCTGGAAATTAAATTAAATAGAGAAAGGGAAAAAGAAGAAAATAAAACATATAATATCGGTAGCGTTGAGTTGAGTTGACCATGGTTGTCTCTGGTAAGTGTAATAGTAATAGTCACGTCCATTGAGGATTAGGTATTAGGCATTAGAATTAGGATTAGGCGCAAATAAAAGCCCCCGTACGATGGCGCGCAAGTAGTGGGCCAACGTGATTCAGGTTCCGGATAGGATAGCTAACAATGTATGAGCTGTACGGAAAGGAGTCCGGACCCACTCACAAGTCACACCACACCAACGCCGGAGAATCCTGATCCATTCCCTCTCAACGGAATGGAGTGGACTGGATCTCTCTCTCTCTCTCTCTAATATTTCTTTTAGCTAATCTAACTGCCTCTGCTGAATAATTACCCAAATGAAATATAAATAATGCCCTCGCAGCATACCATACCAATGAATCAACAAATATCATGTGCTGCATCGTCATAATAAATAATTATAACAGTACGGGGAAGAAAAAAAATCCTGAAACCAAAGAATTAGCCTACCATATCTATTACTATATATATTCTGTGGGAATGTCCCTAACCAAATGTCTATTCCTCGACCAACTAATTGTGTGTATGTGTCGTCATCCTATAAATTTAATTCCACTCTAAATTTAGAAACCAAACCCCTTTCAGTTGAAGATCATCTAGTACAGAAGCCGTTGTTGCCCGACCAAAAATAGGACGAAAACAACCAGGGCTGTTAGAACAACCCACATCCATGCATGCATTCTCCTCTTACCTCGATTTCGAAGAGGCGGAGGAATGGGACTTGTCTTGCTTTGCTTTGTGTACTGCAATGGTTTCTGAGATCTCTTAGGTGTAGGTGCCGCCGTCTCCTGTTTACCTGTATTTTCAGACTCCTTCACAGCTTCCGACGGGGTCTCGCCACATCCCTTGTCGTCGCAACCAATACCACCTCCACCTTCAGTCGCAACTGCCATCTTCCTTTCCTTCTTTTTTGCTCTCTTCTCCTTTTGCTGTGCACAGGTACCAACAACGTTAACCACAACACATCTTAGCTATCAATTTGTAATTCATACAAAAACCATATTGTTAGTTAACATGCACATGCGCCAAATACCTTCTCTCTCTCTTCGGCTTCTTTTCGTGCTTTAATTACCGCCCTAGCTTGGGCTTTCTCAGCATTTCTTTTTTTCCTCTCCAAGGCTTCTTTGGCTTTCGTCTTCTCTTCCAACTTACGTTGCTCCTTCAACTTGGCTGCTTCCTCTTCCTTTCTTAACTCTTCTGCTTTCGCCGCTAGCTCCTCTTCCTCTCTTGTTCGCTTAATCTCCTCAGGTCGTGGGGCCTCTTCTACCTCATTATCGATAGAAATATTTATATGGCTATTCGCTAAAGCCACTTCTATGTTCGGCTTCTTGTTTTTTGTCGTTTGATTCTTCGTTTCGACAGTTTTAGTCACTGGTTTGTCATTATATTTCTCACTATTGGCGGGTATCAGTTTTTCTGGTTCCCGGGCTGTTGAAACCGTTGAGAGAGAATTGTCCCTTACTGGTTTCGCCTTTGCAATATTTGTCCATACAGGTGGCTCTTCGTTGGGGCCAAGGGAGCGCCCATCCAACGTCCTCAGTCGCCTCAGAGTACTCCTCGTGTTGCACCTAATATAGTCTTCTCTAAACTCAGCATTTTTGTTCCACAGCTCCACCATGCTCTCCGCCTGAGATATTATGCAGTCAGAGTATGGAAACAACTCGACACCCAAATGATGACTCAATACCAAAGAGTAGCCCGATTATGTCTCCGAAAAGGGAAAAAGAAAGAGAGAAAAAAAGAACCTGTTTAACACAAAGATGTTGCAGTCTCTCTCTATCTCCACTTAATGCTAACTCATTGGCTTCCTTCACGTCATCCCGATACTTCCAAAAGTATTTGTTCTGCACTCCAAGGATCAAATTTTAATGGTTACTTTCCCTGAGTTGCAATAGTTAAGATCTCTACTGGTGAAGAAACACCAGCGGAAATAAACATAAAATTATACGGAAGTACAACTACAACATCATGTATTTTAGCTAAAGGAGTCCCACACCTCGCAATTTTTAAATCCAGGCAAAACAAAATTCAAAGCAAAAATGAAACCCTCCATCTGATACTATCTTCATCCCAGACATGAGACATGTTAGACCAGCTAAAATAGATCATCGGGATCCTCCTTCCCAAGAGATGTCAATCTCATTCCATTCATACGTCATCAAGGGAAAAGACCCATTTCTACCTTCCGCACTCCTATTTTTCACATGGCGTCTTCTAAAATGCTTACCACAAGTTCTGAATGTAATAATGGGGACACTTCATGTAGTCCAGAACAAAATACAAAACTACCTTTAGTGAAAAGTTCCTATAGGAAACCAGTCTTCGCACATTATCTTGTAGTCGGGGAGCATTATGAGAAAAAAGTATGAGCACAAACCTTCTCATATAATTGCTTCCTCAAACTCTGTAGATTAGCATATGCTTCCTGGCGAATCTTATCTGCTGCTTTGAACTGGGATTGCAATTCATCCATCTTTACATTCTCGTCATTATATTTCTTCTTGGCAGCCTTTATAACTGATTCCGCTTTCAGAACATTGTCTCTCAGTAAATCCATCTCCTTTCTTAATAGCTGTGAGGGTACAATTAATAAAAATCATAAGAATATGCATCTGTGAAACAAAATTGAAGATTAATTGTCTACATCTTAAGCTGCATTGCTAGTGCTGAAACCACACATAGAGAAGCAAAGTATCATAGATTTCCTAGATGGATACAAGTGTCATCGAAAGGTACTAAAGTTCAAACCCTAGATCATACCTTTAGACGTTCTTCAATTTGGTCTTTCTGATCCAATGCCTGTTGAAGCTCATCCTGCTTGCCCATAGTTGATGAAAGCTGATCCCGCAGCTGCTTCAATTGCTTGATTTCACGAATCGATTGCTTTTCCTCTTTCAGTGGCAGCGTTTCATGCTCTATCATGTGTTCAATGTTGCGTATCTACATACATTAAAGCATGATATGAGAGTG